ATTTTAATATGTATGAAATTATCATTGAAAATTTTATCATTATAAAAATAAAAATAATAATTGTAATATATCTTAAAATTAAAATTAAAGTGGTCAACCACATTATTTAAATCGGCCGCGTGACTATTCTATGTGGAGATAAAATCAAACATGAAAAGCACTTTCGACTACGAAAATCAGATATATATATATTATATATCAATAAATTATATATGACTTTGGGAGCTCAAAGAGGCTTCCACGTTCAAATCAATCTCACTAGTACAAAATTTAAAATTTAACAAAGAAAATAAAACTTGTAAATTACCAAAATACCCTCACATTCAATTTGGATTTTTCTTTTCCAATGTTAATTATACAGTGGTTTGTGTAATTTACGTCAGAACATTTAATTTATAGATAAGATTTTGTACATTCCTTTGCAGAAAAAAAAAAAAGATTTTGTACATTATTTTATATTTTATCACTACTATATAACACCATATGTTATTTTATATTGGACATTATTTTAAAACTCATATGTATAACACCATACATATGAGTTTTATATTATATAGTGGTTTGTGCAAAAATCATAGCTTTTATGAGGGGAGTATGAGACCAAGTTACGATGACCATATAAAAATACAACTAATAGGATGTTAAAAGAACTCGATTATTTGAAAAAATCAAGAGATATTATCTTGTACGTTTGATAAATGTCAATGCTTTTTTATAGATTTCTGGATTTAAAATTTTTCTCGAATATCAAATTTGCCCTCATGTATGATATTTATATTTATTATAATTTGTTTTTTCATTTGAATGTAAAATATTTAATTTTCCAAATTTGATTTACGAAACATTAAATTTTAACCTCAAATTCTTTATTCCCCTGATCCTCTAATTTTCCCCGTAATATATTATACTAAATAATTCAATATATTACAAAATATTTCTGCTGCTGAGATCCATCGTTGGATTTTATTTCATTCCATTTTTTTGCTTCATTTTAATATTATTCTGGATTTTCTTTCTTCCACTGGATTTGCTTGCTCCTTTTCAAAACTTGATTTTTTTTTTCTCAATTTCAATACCATTCATTCAACCTGCTTCATTCCCACAAAGTCCATTCACGTAAGTTTTCATTTTTTCCGTTATATATATTTCTTATTATGCCAATCAACTAGGTTGTTGTTTTTTTTCATTAATTTCATTTTATGCTAGTGTTGTATGCACATACTTATTATAGTTATGACATATATACTGTGTACTTTTGAAATAAACTATTATTAGGAATCTCATGAATATAATGTATATACCCTATTTATATTAAGTTATAATTTACCGTCGTAGAGGTAGCTACAGATTTGATTGGATTAATGGATGCTGTATGTCGCTGCTTGCTCTCGTCGGAGGAGGGAGGAATGTGACAGACAAGTTTTAGGTGGGAAAGAAAGATAGAGATTAGAATTTCATATAATGCGGGAGAGAAAGAGGGGGGGAAATGTGATTTTTAAGAGAGAGATTTGAAGTTGAAATCTCTAAAGTTAAGGATTTTTTCTTAATTTTTTATTAAATATATATTTAAGAGAGAAAATTTGTAAAGTTATAGTGGTTCCGAAGATAAAAGTGTAAAATTTTAAACATCAATCTATTTATGTAATTGAATCTCCGTATAATAACTTATCCAAAAATCAATCGAACCCAACCATACAATTTGGGTTGGGTAATAAACTTGTTTGGATTGGATTGAGTTGTGTTAAAATAAATGAAAATTTGATGGGCAGGGTCGGTTCAAGGTTCACCTAAAATAAGTTTGAGTTGAAGAGAACCAACCCAACTTATTATTAAATTTAAGACTATTTCTTTTACTTACCATACAAATTATATATAGTTATATTTATTTTAATTTTATTTCCTTCAATAATGTTTATGAATGATTTATTCTACAACATCTTTTACAACAATACAAATCTTTGTTCAATGTTAGACAATATATAAATAAATGCTTAAGATATTATCGTTTACCTTTCTTATTATACAATACTTTAAATAAGTGATCCGATCTGAATCAACCCAATATTTGGATTGTGTTGTGTTTATTATTTAATAAAGGTTATTTAGGTTTAATAAATTTACAACATGAACAATTAAGTTAGTACATCAACCCAACTCAACTCACGAACACTCTTAGTAATCAATGTGATGACTACTAGCTTCCCCATACCATAGGTTAAAATAACATATATGACATGAATTCTTAATGTTCATATAGCGATCTTAGAAAAAAAATAGTACATATAATGATACATGGATAGATGCAATTTCAACTTTACTCACTGGATGGCAATGGGCAGGGCAGGGGCTTCCCCATCCCTACTCCGTTGGAGAATTTTTCCCCATCCCCGAAATTTTGGGGGCGAGGATGGGTTCTCCACGGGGAACCGATTCCCGAATTTTTTTTTCTTTTCATTTTTTTTATGGGTGTTAAAAGTAAAAGAAAAAAATGATTAAATGAGCATTGGGCTTGTGCTTTTTTTTTTTAAAAAAAGTATTTATTAAAATTAATATATATTAATATTATTATATATGAAAATATTAAACATGGAGGGGACGGGGGCGGGGTGGGCAGACCTTCTCCCGTCCCCGCCCCGGACTCTGATTAAGATTTCCGGTTTGATCGCATCCCTGGTCAAATCGGGGATTACCCGACCAGACCTGATTAAGAAAAAAATTTCATTAACTTTTTTATAAATTCAACGCACATGGCATTTAGTTAGATAAAATATAATCAAAATTTTAAATCATATTAATAAAGTTAAAAGAAAAAAAACACAATGTGCATTACACAAACTAGTTTTTTTATTCTCTCTTTAAAGGTCTTTTCTCGAATTATTTGCCAATAAAATTTGCGTTTCTATGTTTAATTATCATTGTCCTATCAACTTTCCGTTGTAGTCTAGTTGGTCAGGATATTCGGCTCTCACCCGAAAGACCCGGGTTCAAATTCCCGGCAACGGAATTTTTTTTTGAAACCTTTATTTATTATTATTTTTCCTTTTCAAAAATTTCATTTTCCCCATTTTCATTCTTTTTTTTTTCAAAAAATTCATTTTACCTGCCAATGCGAGGAACCCATTTGAGTTTGTATTTTCCTTACAACCCTAACATAAAATAAACAAAAATTGAAAGTATATGAACCAAAATGAATATTGAAAAGTACAGTATCTTTAACTTAAAAAGTTTATCAATTTGTAAAACAAAATAAAAATTTCATTAATTTTTTTTATAAATTCAATGCACATGCCATTTAGTTAGATAAAATATAATCAAAATTTTAAATCATAATAATAAAGTAAAAAAAAAAACACAATATGCATTACACAAACTAGTTTCTTTAAAAGTTTGTGAAACCAAAAAAATAGAACAATCCTAGATTATGAAACCAAAGAAATAGAAGAATCCTACTCCTAATTTCACTAATAATTATAAACAAATTAGAAAAATATAGTAGGTTAGAAAGTAACTTTTTAAAATTATAAATAAAATAAATTAAAAAAAAAACTATTGTAAAAAATAGCAATCATTAATTGCGATCTAGGGTTGCCAAATTGGAGCGATGTGGCAGGAGCTGGCAAGTTAGACGGAGGAATCGCATACTCCTTCCCCTTCACCTCCCTCCTTCAAATTTTTCTTCTCGAACAAAGTGTGCCGCTACCGACCATCACTATTCGCTACTGTTTCGCCACCATCATCTTTACCGTGCTATTGCCAAAGTTTTCATCGCACCGCTTGCCGTCGAAACGTTCACAACTACATTGTTGGACCCATTTCATTTCATATGAGTTGTTCAAGATCTTAAACATACAATGGGTTTGTGCTCGACAAATCCGACCCTTTTTTCAGGGAAGAAATTTCTCTCTAGAAATAAAGAAAGAACAAACAATGGAGGAAATGGAGGGCCATGAAAAAATAGAGAAGAAAAAAAAAACTTACAAAGCGAAAATCGCTTCGGCATGGCAAACAAGAGTAAATGTAAATAGCGTTCAACACGCGCCAGTTTGGCCTAACTTGCATCCATTATCCACGATTTCACTAAATTGCTTACGATTTCTATCTTAGTTTTGTATATATTTTTTTAAATTACATTATTAAAAAAAACCCAAACCTATTTAATAAATTATATTAAAAAAAATCCAAACCTATTTAATAAAATTATTTTTCCTTGATTTATTAGTCAATAAATTTTTTTTGAAATTAAATTATCCATCGACAATCGTTGTAGTCTAATTTGTCAGTATATTTGGCTCTCATCTGAACAACTTGGGTTTTCCTGAGTAAAGTTGTTGCAAGGAAGCAACTATTCATTTTTTTCCACTATGACCTTAAGGAGGCAAGAAATTTCCCAGAATAAAGTTGTTGCAAGGAAGCAACTAAATAGTTTAGGAAGATTTTGGACAAGCACCAAGGATCGTTGACTAGTAACTTTAAAGGACGAAAGTTCTTAAGGTGATAGTTTGTAACACCCTAGTGTTTAGAGTTGTGAGATCAGTCAACTTTCGAGGACGAAAGTTTTTTTTTTTTTTTAAGGTGGGTAGTTTGTAACACCCCAAATTTTTGAGTTATTTTTATCCTAAGATTTAAATTCGACATTTAGAATTTTCCCTAAGTTAGTAATTAAATTTATAGGCTTCTAAGTTGGAGTTCTAATTTTGAGTAAATTAGAATTAAATTTAATTTCGTTGGATTAAGATAAATTTAGTTTTCGGAATGAGATTTTTAATTAAATCTTATTCCAAGAGTTTGGTAATTTAATTTCTCTTTTGATTTTTATTATTGTATTTCAAACTTTAAGTTAACTTCTTAATTTATTTTTCCAAATCATTTTGGAGTGGATTTTATTTTAGAAAAATGATTAAGAAGAATCCCAGTAGGACTTAGCCTACTCTTCTTTGTTTTGTTTTAGTTGACCCATCCCTCATTCATAAAAAAATATTAAAGAAAAAGGTTTTGTTTTTAAAACAAAACAAAGCCTTAAAAGAAAAGTCATCTTCCCTCCCTCTAACCCTAGCCGGCCCCCGTGGTTTCATTCTCGCCGCCTAGCACCTCCATCCGACGGTCATTGACAAGCAGCGGCGGTACTATTTTCCAGCAACCGACGGCGGCATTCGGCGAACCAACAGTGACAGCGCACAGCGGCTCTGGCGGCGCGAGCTTCATCCTCGGGTGTTCCACAGCATCTACGGTCAGCCCAGATCCGACATCTTTCGGTAGACTCGTGGCGGGACCTACAGCTTCATCGTCTCCTTCCGGCGGTTCTCGGTAGCGCTACGATTTTCGCAGCGACGCGTCGCCTACAGCTGAAGCGGCAACCGACGACGGTACTTCTCCCACGGCGGCGTTTTTCGGTAGCAGCGGCTCGAGCAACGAAACTAGCTGCGGGATTCATGTTTTTAGTCCAGATTCGGCGACTTCCTAGCATCTCACGAGCGACCATTGACGTTCCAGCGGCGATTCAATTGACAGTAGCATTTTGAGGACGTTTTACGGTGACCCACCCATTTTCGAAGTTAGATTTGCGGTACCCAACCTCTTCGGCATCTATTCGGCACCTATCCACGCTCAAAGTTTTATTTGAGTTACCAATCAGTTTTTGGCATCGGATCAACAAGTGCAAAGCCCTTCGAACTTGGATTTGGAAGCCTGGACCTCCTCGACGTAGACCCACTCCTAACCCAAGAAATTTTAGTGTGAGTTAGTAGGTAACAACTCATCTAAACTTTGTCTCGATTCAAATTAAGTGTTTTAGATGAACTCTAACCCAAGTTTGGTTGCTTTTGATTTAGGGAATCCTTTGACAAGCTTAGTAGTGCGTTAGGACTTTTGTGTAAGTAATTCTTGTTTGGGGATGTTTGTTGTTTGAATATTTATGAATTGTTTGATGCTTTCAGTGTGTTTATTATTCATTAATATGTAAGTTGATTGTCTCTTTGTGAATATTGGCTAATGATTATGAGTAGTTTGGATGAAATCATGTTGGTTCTGGTTGTTTATCACTGATTTGCTTTGCGTGATTAGATTTGATGCTTAGTGATATTTATGAAAGTATTATGGATTATGAATGGTTTTATCGTTGTATGGTTGTGTTCGTGAATGCATACTGAATTAATGTGGGAGAAATCTGTAATGTTGTGCATGCATGTTCGACATGTCGTTCTGTATCCAATGAGTTTAGAGTTCTGCTATTTCAGAATCTGCCATGATCTGCGAAAGAAGCTCGAAGCTCAGTGTTGAAAATGGTATTTTCTACTTTCCCATCTCAATCATGACAAATGATCATCATCAATCTTAGAATCGCGAGGGCCTACGCCAAAAATTTCCTATCTTTATTCCTCCATTTTGTTCCTGTCAAGAACCTCCATGCCAATTCAAATGAAGAATCATGTTCCGGCCACCCACCGCAAAGAACACATTTGGTTTCCCCCAATAACGTGAACCCAAAAGTTCATTTTGCCACCACTTCTGATGTTGTTTCGTTGAATAAAACAATCAGTAGTTTAGTAAGAGCTGGGGATTTAGAGTCCGCCCACGAGGTGTTCGACAAAATGCCTGTTAGAACCACGGTTACTTGGAATTCTATGTTGTCGGGATACTCGAAGGTGGTTGGAAAAATGAAGGAAGCCTGTGAAGTGTTTGATCAAATTCCTCAACCAGATTCCGTGTCTTATAACATTATGTTGGCTTGTTATTTAAGAAACTATGGTGTTGGGGTTGCTTTGACTTTCTTTAACAGGATGCCTGTCAAGGATATTGCGTCTTGGAACACGATGATCACGGGATTTGCCCAGAATGGACAAGTGCGAGAGGCGTTTGAATTGTTTTCAGTGATGCCGGAGAAGAACGGCGTCTCATGGAGCGCTATGATTTCCGTGTACGTGGAGCAAGGAGATTTGGATTCAGCCGAGGAGTTGTATGAGAAAGCGTTTATAAAGAGTGTGGTTGTGGAGACTGCAATGCTTACTGGGTACATGAAGTTTGGGAAGGTGGACTTAGCTGAAAGGTTATTTCATAAGATGGGTGTGAGGAATTTGGTCACGTGGAACTCTATGATAGCAGGGTATGTCGAGAATTGTCGCGCTGAGGATGGTCTGAAGCTCTTCAAGGCAATGATTGAATCTCGGGTGAGGCCGAATGCTTCGAGTTTGAGCAGTGTCCTTCTTGGTTGTAGCAACTTGTCTGCTTTGCCTATGGGTAGGCAAGTGCATCAACTGGTTAGTAAGTCTCCTCTATCCAAAGATACAACTGCTTGTACTTCATTGATTAGCATGTATTGCAAGTGTGGAGATCTAGATAGTGCCTGGAAGTTGTTTCTTGAGATGCCGAGAAAGGACGCGATTACTTGGAATGCCATGATTTCAGGTTATGCTCAACACGGTGCTGGTCGAAAAGCACTTAATTTGTTTGACGAGATGAGAAATGGTGCAATGAAACCAGATTGGATCACGTTCGTTGCAGTCCTATTAGCCTGTAACCACGCAGGCCTCGTCGATCTCGGCGTTCAGTATTTCCAATCTATGAAGGAGTTCGGAATCGAAGCAAAACCAGACCACTACACATGTGTGATCGACCTTCTCGGTCGAGCTGGTAGGCTAGACGAAGCAGTAAGCGTGATCAACGAGATGCCATTCAAGCCTCATGCTGCAATCTTTGGAACCCTCTTGGGGGCCTGTAGAATCCACAAAAACCTGGATCTGGCGGAGTTTGCAGCCAAGAACTTGTTAGACCTCGACCCCATGAGCGCCACCGGATACGTTCAGCTTGCAAATATCTATGCAGCAACGAGCAAATGGGACCGAGTGGCTAAAGTGAGGAAGATGATGAAAGAACACAATGTAGTTAAAATACCTGGTTACAGTTGGATTGAGATCAAGAGTGTAACTCATGAGTTCAGATCGGGGGACAGAGTTCATCCAGAACTGACCTCCATTCACAGGAAACTAAATGAGTTATATGGGAAGATGAAGCTAGCAGGGTATGTTCCAGACCTTGAATTTGTGCTGCATGATGTAGAAGAAGAGCACAAAGAGAAGCTATTGCTATGGCACAGTGAGAAATTGGCAATCGCTTTCGGATTGCTAAAAATGGCGCCCGAGACTCCGATTCGGGTTTTCAAAAACTTGAGAGTCTGTGGGGATTGTCACAGAGCAATCAAGTTCATATCAGCTATAGAAAGAAGGGAGATTATTGTGAGAGACACTACACGGTTTCATCATTTTAGTAATGGATTCTGTTCTTGTGGCGATTACTGGTAAGCAATCGAGTTTTTCTGTTAGAACTTTCCATTTGTGTTTAACA